CGAGCTTCTGCGGAAAGAAATGCTTTTTTAGGACATCTTATTTGTGAGGAAAGAATGAGGGCGGACCCGGAAAAAATTAGCAAAGTGTGGGACTATCCGCGCCCCACGTTGGAAAAAGGACTGAGAGTCTTTCTAGGAATGTGTTCGTATTACCGGAAGTTCGTCCCGGGATTCGCATTGCTCAGTAAACCCCTTTACGACATGTTGAAAAAGAACGCAACGATCGAATGCGATGACGAAAGGATAAAAGCTTTTGAGAAGCCCAGGAAAAAACTGGTTACGGCACCTGTGCTTGCGCAGCCGAATATAGTCAAAGCGGTGAGCGGTGAGACCCCATTTTACATCACTACAGACGCGTGTCAGAGTGGAGTTAGGGCGGTACTCGCACGAAGGGGTGAAGACGGGGGAATGCACCCGATATATTTTGCTTTGAAAGCATGCTCGAAAGCGGAGTCGAGATACCACGTGACCGATTTGGAAGCGTTGGAACTCGTATTTGCGTTGCGGAGATTCAATTCGTACATTTATAGTACGAGAGTCGTGGTATTAACCGACCATCAGCCATAACTAGCGCTATTCAAAAATCGAAACGTTTCGAATAGAATTCTGCGTTGGGGGTTGGAAATGCAGACGTATCAGTTGGAGATACGTCACATTAAAGGTAAAACCAATAGATGCGCGGATGCGCTAAGCCGGTTGCATGAAGAGCAAAAAGACGAGGACAGTGAGCAATCTTCATTGACAGAGGAGGAGATTATTGTTTCGAGCATACATTGTTCGAAGAACGAACTGAAAGAACTGAGGCTGGATCCTGAATTTGAGGACGTAATAGCAAAGCTAGAGAGTGGAGTACAGGTGGATAATTATATATTAGAAGAAGAGGCACTACTCCGCGTTGACGGAGAAGGGAATGTGTTGAAGATGGTACCAAAGGGCAATCGGAAGAGGCTGTTTCAAGACGCCCAGCGGCTTATTCGCAGGACATTTATGTCCGCGGAAAATTATTTGTAAAATCAGCAAGCAATATTATTGGAAAACGCCAGGTCGGGATGTGAGGAAGTGGCACAATGAGTGTTTAATTTGTGTGGCAGTTAACCAGCAAACTAGACGAATGCTATCGCTGAAACCTCTGGTTACGCATGCACGGTACGGACTGTGCAAGGGGACATTTTGGAGTTGGTCCGACCAGCAATAGGAATAAATATGCAGTCACCATAACTGACGCGATCAGCAAATGGTGCTCAGCATACCCAGTACCAAACAAGATCGCAGAAACCATTGCCAAAGTACTGGTGGAGAACTGGATCGCGAGAGAGGGGGGATGCCCAAAGGCACTTCTTTTGGATCGAGGACGGGAGTACGAGAATGATTTGCTGCAGAAGGTAGCAAAAATCTTTGATTTCGAGTGCAAGTTTGCCGTGGCCATAATCCAAGGGAAAATGGTCATACGGAGAGGATGAACAGAACATTGGCGAGCATGCTAGTTAGGAGCACGGTGTTGCCGATGGAATGGGATCGAAGGCTACCGTTCGTTTTTACGCCAAAACGAGCCAGTTCAAAGTGGGTCAGAGAGTACTAGTGTTGGCTCCAACGCAGGCGAGAAGATGCTCATATCCGAAGCTCGCACCGAGGTTTAACGATCCGTATAGAATTCTGGAATTGTCCGATAGTAGTGCACTGGTGAAGCAGATTTATGGGCAAGAAGAGGTAATGCGGGTGCAACTGGACCATTTTAAGAAGGTTCCTGAAGAAACTCCACTGGATCAGCAGATAAATGGAATAACACGGAGGCGCAAATGGCGTAAAAATGTTAGTACGGAACCAAGAGCGACTGTAAGATGTCAACATATTGTCAATGACGACAAGGATCCTTTTGCGGAAGCTCGGGGTCCGAGCTCAACCGAGGGGACGCATGTTGGGCAAAGCGGGATATCTAACGGCACGCGGATTCGGCAAGAAGTTTCGTGATCGTTGCCCGGTGATCTTGCTTGATTTATGCGCTAAAATCTTGCATATAAATGTGAGTGATGAGGGATTGAATCTTTGTTTTTTACATCCTCCGATTGGTTCGTCAGTATCAGTAAACTTCGATCATGTCCTCAGTGTGTCCGTGCAGTTTAGCTGAGAGGAGGCTGCGTCAAGGGTGCATCAGTGGGCGCCGAGGAGCTTCGTCAGGGCACGACTCATCATTGCCAAGCGAGGCGCGCCCAACATTAGACCGAGCCCCTGATATGGCTACTCCCAACGCATGGGATCACTCGAATAACGCCACTAGGAAAAGGCTCCCACACCGACTTCCCGGATGCTTATGGCATTATAATTAAGGAACATAAGCAAGATGGAGCTTTGTGATGAAGTGGGGAAGAAAGAAGACTAGTTTTTTTCCAGATTTAGATAAGTTTTTATGCGCTTTTGCAGGTATGCAATGCGGAAAACGCACATTGACGAGAGGTTTTCTGTGTGTGTGTGTGTGTGTGTGTGCGTGTGTGTGTGTGTGTGTGTGAGTCTGTACCGATGCGCGTCTTTACCGGTTTTCATCTCGAACAAGAGCTACAGGGCTGAAACTTTGGGGACTTAATCTACATATGTTTACGGGCCCCCATCCCCAAAATGGGCGGTCTTACCAGCGTGGCACCCACGTAAGGGCCCGCCAATTTTTTACGGCTAAGCTGTTAACTCGCGAATCAGAAAAGCTAGAAGGCTGAAATTTTAAAGGGATGTTCCTCGTCCTCGTAAGTTTAAACGAATTAAAATCCAGCTCCCAGGTAAGCGTGGTACCCGCGTACAGGCCAGCAAAATTTTTTCCGGGTAAGTTCGTAACCCGGGGATCTGAAAAGCTAGAAAGCTGAAATCTTAAGGGGATTTTCCCCGTCCAAGTAGGTATTAATGAGCTCAAACCCAGCTCCAGAGTAAGCATGGTACCTGTGTACGGGTCCGCCAAAATTTTCATCGGGTAAGTTGATAACTCGAGGATCTGAGATGCGGGAAAGCTGAAATCTTAGGCGATGTTCCCCGTACAAGTAGGTATTAATGAGCTCAAACCCAGCCACCGGGTAAGCGTGGTACCAACCTACGTGCCCGTGGAATTTTTTTTTTGGGTAAGTTCATAACTCGAAAGCTGGAAGACTGTAATATTAAGAGGATGTTCCCCGTCCACATTAATCTCAACGAGCTCAAACCCAGCCCTCGGGTATGCGTGGTGCCTACGTACGGGTTTACCAAAGTTTTTCTCGGGTAAATTGCTAACTCGAGAACATGAAAAGCTAGAATACTGTAGTTTTAAGAGGATGTTTCCCGTCCAAGTAAGTCTCAACGAGTTCAAACCCAGACATCGGGTGTGCGTGGTACCGACGTGCGGGACTGTCAAGGTTTTTTCCAAAAAGTTGCTACTCCGGAGCCAATAAAGCTAGAAAGCTGAAATTTTATGGGGATGTTTCCTGCCAGTTCTGGCAGCCAGTCTTAATTTGTTTAGCTAGAAGCATTTGCCGGAAACACCGATGCCGGTAGCAACAAAAACTACGGGGAACTATGCAAAAAACGCATCTTCGCACAGGCAGCCCATGCGTTGGCCAATTATCTTTTTCACGAGTTACAACCGCTAAATTTAGGTCTTTTATCCTCTATACCAAAAAGTTTGCTGTGACTAGCACATGTTAATAAATTTTCAGTCGTAAAACTTAAGTAACTGAGCAGTTTAATTAAGTGAACAAATAAACGAAAAGCGTACATAAAAACAATAGTATATAAAATTCTAGCGGTCATGCTTACTTCTCTCACCATTTTCTTTTGGATGAACTGCCGTGCAAATTATATATCTATAGCTTTTAATTTGTCAAAATACAGAAAATGAATTTATCTGAACAAAGCTTTACGTTCCAACAGACAATTCATTATTCGCTGATGCTATATTTTCAGCCACACACCTTTTGTGCCTTGTTTCGGAGCAAAAAGCAAACTAAGGGAATGAAAAGCTTACCTGAAACTGAGGCGAAATAGAATATAAGAGTGGCGTGTATCCAACTAGGAGCACTCATTTGTGACAGACACTAGTTAGAGCGCGCAATTAGATGATTAGATAATATAACTGTTTGAAATTTTTGT